CTGGCCGGACGACTTCCCGGCCTGTCGATTAGAATCTTCCAGTACGTATTTCCCGGTGCGATACGACCCCGTCGAACTCGCGAAGGGGCGGCCGGGTTTTCCACGTGAAGCTCGAAGAAGAAGTTGACTGACTTGATGCAGGCATTTCCCTTACAAGTACCGCATTTTTCGCGAAAAATGCCGCATCGAGTTGGGACACCTTAAAACACATCGTTCTACGAGAAATATGGTAAAATTTGTCGCCTCTCCCGAGTCCCCCATTTTTGTTGAAACCGTAGCGCCGAAACGAGACACCTTAAAATACCCCATTTTAGGAGAATCACGGCGCGAGAGGAAAGAATCGCAATTATTATAACAAATGCTTTTCAGAGGAATAAAATTCCGGGTCTCCCTCCAAGTGTCACGTTTTTGTTATAAACGTCGCATCGAGAAGGGGCGTTGTTTGTATCCTCTATATATACAACGCCCGTGGCTTTGAAATCCCATTCCCGTATATCCATAGATTTTTTCTTATTTGATTTTTTCAAAACTAAACACGGCTCCATACTTCACCACTCCTCACACAAGGGAGTTTTTTTTTCTTCGTTCTAAATAGATTGGGAGAAAATATGAGAAATATCGAATTAGAGTAAAAAAAAATCTACGATTATTGTGACAAGCATTTAAGGTAAGTAAAACCCTTATTCTAGCACAAATATCGTGCCATATCGACGGTTCTTCCGGTTGGCTTCGAGGACGTTTCTTGGATTTCCTGTGTCGCCATGTTCGCCCCCTGGGGGTGGTTCCGCGACCAATCGGGAGTCGCGAAATCCGCGCGAGTACCCTAGTACTTACTTCCCGCTCTTAGCCACGCGCGGCGATAAATAAACGCGGGGAAACCGGCGCGGAACATTTATCGCCCCTTCGTGATTTGTGCGATGGGGTCGGGAAATAATTTCGCCGCCGGTGGAGTGTTTCTATAATATCGATTCCTCCGCCGTCGGCCCATTCTCGGAGCCGGACTTCGGCCATCACCCTCCTTCGGACCGTACTTTTTATTCCGGCACTAAAAAATGCAGTTAAGCGACTTCGCCGGGTGCATACACCCAGGGATGACTTACATCTCCACCGAGGTAATCGCATCCGAGGAGGGATAAGCGAAATCACCCCGGCGAGTCCCTCCTCGAGAATGAAATAAAGGGAGGACGTGGCCGGCTGCCTCGAAACATCCCTTTATGCGGATTCGAGCCAGGTTTTGCATGTCGTTTACATAATTCGTTTACATAAGTCCGCCTCTCTGGGAGCACTCGCCGAGTCTCGTCAGAAAGATCCGAATGGCTTTGTAAAGAGCAAGGTCCGATTGAGATTCCACTGCACCACCCTTTGACTCGTCACTTTCGGGCCCAGAAGATCCTTCTTGAATTTTTCCGACATCACCGTCGAATTTTTCCGGAATTTCCATCCGTTGACCTCGCCGGAAGGTCGCCGATATTTATTATTAAGCACCATTAGGAAGCCTCACGCCCGGCGACGGCTGCTTCGATTTTGGCGTCGCCGTCGGTTTAACGCGGGTTTAACGCTCCATTTCCGAAGCGACGTCGAGACAATCGATCGAGTGCCCTTGCGAGGAGTCCGTTGTCTCGTTAACGACGCCGTTTTGGGACGCCTTCCCTCTTCGCAGCCTCACCAGCTCCGCCTTTTCCTTGCACGGGCCATTTCTTATACACACTCGAGGCTTCCTTCACCTTGATCTTTATTCTTCCTGCATTTCCGTTCGCTGAAATGCTCAGTTAATTAGGATCGAGCCCGGGTGAATTAGGATTCAGCTTACCTTCCGGATAATTACTTTCCTCCTCCCGAACCTAACCTAAGCTAATCTAACCTAACTTAACCTAACCTAACCTCCACGGCGGGCGAGACTTGAGCACTCCAGAGGACACCTCTCGAGTCCGATCGTATTTATCCGCCGATCCATCTCACCTGAGAAAATTACTCCCGTATTTCCACTTCTCCGCTTTCTTCCGCCGGACATCATTTCCGGGCGGAATGCGTCCCGCGCCATTTTCGCGCGAGTGACGCGCGTTTCTGCACTCGGTACTCGCATGGCCGTGAGCTCGCGTAAATCATGGTCGCGCGCTAGGTGTCACTTTAAGCCGTGAAAATGATCGAGCACGGCGCCAGTCCTCGCACTCCCACGTTCCGGCACACGTCCGTCCGTTAATGCGGTCGAGGGAAATAGCTTTCCGGTAAACGAACGCGTGCCTCGCTTTGCGCGTTCGTTACGACCGTTTCGAACTAGTCTGAACTAGTGGGCAGGTCACGTGACGCCGGACCAGTGTAATGCGGGCTCTTCCGTCACGTGACGCCGGGCCAATGGGACGCAGGCTCTCCTATCACGTGACCGGGCCCTCGAGAGTCATAGCCCCCCCGAGATTCAAAGTGGCATAAAAGCAGCACTTGAAAAATTCCCAAGTCTTGAGAATGTATACTTTTTAAACATTTTCTACGCGGCTCCATCTTTAGTCCCGCAACAAGAAATCCCGTTCAACCGATGTCGGAAACGTGACCACGGCGGCACTCGACCGGAAACGTGACCGCCCCTCCCAGAAGCCTCTGCAGCTCGGCGGCCATTTGCACAGCTACTTTTTCCGGAAACGCGAGGAGGAGGAACTGGCGGTAATTAAAAACAAACTGGGGGAAAAAAGTACCGGTTATTCAATATTTAATAACAACCCCGGGGAATAATTTTCTGTTATTCGGTAAATTCCTTAACAACGCGGGTTTTAATTAACTTTCGATGCGCGCGATAATTATGCGGTCCGAGGGCGGCCGCCTCGGGACCGTCCACCGTGAAAACGGTGGAAAATGCAAAAGAGCGAGAAAAGGGGGCAAAAGGAGGAACACGCGAGCACTGTTAACTTTTCTGTGGTTTACGAGACGCGGGGGTTTATTTTCCGCAGGTTGCCGAATGGAAGTTGCTCGGGTGGGGGGAGAGTTCGCAAGTTTTTCCGACTAACGCTTCGATCCTTTTTTATGTCTCTCTTTGGCTCCTTTCGTATTCGATTTTTCTTCTCCTGCTTTTCGTGCTACGAACGCCCGCCCTTCGAATGGAATCCCGGCGGGAGAATCGAAATATCGCGGAACATCGATTGTTGCGGACGCGCACCTGGCGTCGAGAGAAATTACCTCCTGGCAGCCAATTCGAGTTTGCTTTGAATAAACCAACGGCAAAGAGCTCGCCTAGGGGGGGCGAGGATTAAAATCTTCCTCCGTGCTGCCCGGAAAATACCCGGAAAAACGCAAGGTGCTCTCGGATAGCGCCGGAAAAGGAGCGCGCATAAACAGGAAGAAGTTACGAGTCCGATTCCTGGCACGGCGGTATCTGCGACAATAACCGCGTCCCCGAAAAAATGGCCGACATCGCTCCTGGACCCGCCGAGTTTACGAGTCCACGTCGCTTTTTCACCGACCGAAGGAAACTCCTTAACGGCGCGCACCAACCCCGTAACTCACCGCGATAATCCGCCCATTAAAACCAACTTTTCAGGGCCGAGCTTCAGCGTAGACTTCTATCGAGAGAGAGGTGAGGGCGATTCTTTTTAAAATCCAGATATTTCAGAGCAATTATTTTTTCAGGTGGATCTTGATTCAGGATAAGAACGCATCTTCGCTGTCAATACGTGAGATTAATGGCGATGGTTTCTGACATCCCCCGGCAATTACATTACCTAATTCTTCTTTTATACGAATCTCAATCCAAAAAAGAGGCGTATCGTCCCGGCAGAAAATGTGAGGAAAAATTCCCGGACAGCAGCTCTCACATAATCAGGGGAGGTCCGAGCAATTCCACCAACGAGAGTCCCGATTAATGGAACATCTTCGATCGGCCCGATCGCATCCACCCTGTATGGATTCGATGGATCAACATTATCCAACGCGCCGATGCTCGCATTCGGCCAGCCACAATCGGTCGCGTTTACAGCCTGATCAGATCCGCTCGTAAATAAATGGATAACGACGCTCGTATTGCACAGGAGCCTCTTTGCGAATATATCGTTGCCCTCGCATAGGTACCCGCAGAAAAAGGAATTCACAGTCACGACAAAAAATTTCACTTGCTCCGATAAGTGTGAACACTCGAAAATGTATCGGTACAATTTTTATCCAGATACATTTTTGTCACATTGCGAGTAAAAAAGGCGACTAATAAAGTGTCGCAATTCCGAAGAAACGTTGTGCCCAATTTATTCCAGTTTATTTCTGTCAAGTATTCCCGGAATTAACGAAATATTTCTTCGGTTCAATGAAAATTGTTTTCCGCGTACCCGTGGCGTACATCGCTTTCTGGGCCTTGGGGCGTTTCCGCTCGCTAAGAAATTACCCATTATTTTGGGAGTTTCGGGACTAAAGTCTTTCTTCACAAAGCTAGCGACGGAAGCCTCAGGGGACTCGCTTCGGAGACAATTCGATCGAGCTCGATACGTCCGCCATATTGAAGAGGGACTTGCCCCTCGGCTCTCCACCTGGCTCGCCCTTCGAAATGAAATTTCCGTCGACAGGGAACTCCCCATTGACGACGGACTCGCGACGGTTCGGGAATAATGGAATTTATTCGCTATTCTCTAAAGTTCGCCCGGCCCTGTCCGCGCTTTTTGCAGGTTCCGCTGCGAAAAGGGGCTCTTCCGTTCTCCCTCGTCCTCCTCCTCCCCGACATATATTTATTCCCCCTCGAAGTCGTCATCGCCGAACGCTCCCGACTTTCCGACTGAGAAAGAGAAAGAAAATGTTACGGAACGAAAGAAATATTTCGTTGATGAAAAAAAAATTATTATTATTATTTGACTCAAATAAAGTGGAATAAAGTGAATGGAACATTTATTCGGGATTGCGAGAACTTATTTGAATTATATTTCGGTTATATTATTATTCCACTGAGCTGAGAAAATATTTCTTTGGTGCTATTATTGCACCACCGTTCGCTGGAGACGCGGCTTCAGGGCGGGAATCTGGACAATACTTACAATGGACCTCCAGCTTCCACTTGTCCTCGATGGACGCTTCCGGCAATTGCGGATTCTCCGCCCGACAGATCAGATGCTTGCCCTCGTCCTCGACGCTAGGCGTCCATTGCACGACGCTGACGCTCGCCCCGGTCTCCTGGAACTGATCGAGCCGGAATTGAGACGCTAGGGCCGAGATGGTATTCACCTAACTTCCGGTCCCCGCCTCGGACACGGACTAAGAGCCTCGGCGTCGGGACGCTTGCAGGATTAGACGCCGGCTGGCGAATCGATTATCGAATAGCCGATACCTCGGTGAAAGCTTTCCGAAACTTCCGGCGGACGCTCCGACGCGCAATCTCGCCAGGTATCTCGTCGGACGACTTCGAGATGGCGAAGTCGATTCGACAGACGACCGAGGGTGATTAAGCCGTCGAATTCTGCTGCGAAATTCTCACCTTGGAGCGATTGGTTCAATTAAATACACCTCGAACTACCTGTCTACGAATTTCTCCTCGGTGGGCTAGTTGGAGTATTTTGTAAATCCATGCCATTTTTCCGCTTCCCTGTGTTAGCCTACTCTACAAAAGTTAATTCAGAAGATTCGCACACTGAGAAAAAAATATTGAAAGTCAAAATGTTTATAAAACTTTCTTCCAAATAGGGTGCACCGAAAAAATTTGAAACTTTCACAAGTGATTATGGAGGCCCCAATGAAGGTCTTGAAACTCGGGAAATTTCATTTTTTGAAACAAAGCGTTGTATTTATTTCGGACAAGAACGAAAGAAAAATATTTTTTTAACAGCGAATAGGTATTATACAATAAGTCGACAGTGAATCGACCGCAATCTTAACAATGAATCGGAGTGCGTTACGAATTTTGTAATGCATTTGTAATTTCATAAGGTTAGGTTGTAATTTTCTGAAATTATGCAGGGAGATTGTGAGAGTCGCGTGCTAAACTTGTGGAGCGTGTTATGAATTTCCAACGAAAATGCGAAATAATATTAATATACCGAGTCTGGCTGAAGCTACCGAGGGAAATGTTGCAAAATTATGGTGTTTCTTTTATTTTGTGTTTCAACAAGGTGGAGGGCGCAAGCAAACACGACGTTTGGACAACAAGGGGAAACGCTAGGTGGATACGTCGAATTCGATCGACCAATTCGAGGGGACTCAAAGGACCGCTCCGTTGACGCGGTTTATCAGGTGTGATTAGCATGCGATTAATCGGCGGAAATTAGCGGCCAGTACGAACGAGAGTACAATAAATTGCGGGCATGCAAATTCGCCAGATGTACGGAATTTCATAACCAAACCGGCCAGTACTCCCCCCTCCTGGCTCATTGGCCCTCGTCAAATTAATTCACCGCGCAATTCCGCGACGCCCATTTACATGATAATTGCCGCGATAGAAGGGTCGCACGCGTTTGCTCCCTGGAGATTTTACGGGGCCGAGGTCTACCCGGCATTTCTGGAGAACACCATGAGCTTTACGAGCTGCCACCCTTCACAGGGCCGGCGATCCTCCCGGTCCATTGCCGAGAAAAGACTAATGCTCTCAGATGGTGAAATATATATCTCCTGAATTTATTCCGAGGGTGTTACGCCCTCCAACCACCTGAACCTACCCCGACCAACCTCAACCAATCCCGACTAACTCCTCAGGATCACTATCGAGAAAACGATCGTAAATCGCCTACTGTATCGACTGCGATTATCGTTACGGGGGAGACGAGGAGAGGCCATTTCCTATTTCCACCAACCCTTCTTCGCTCGAATTAAATTCGCCGTATATGTTGAATTAATAGTTTCGCCTTTGCTTAAATGCTATGTCGATAACTTTTTGTGCTGAGGTTCTTCCTGCGTACGTAATTTTTTTTTAATTCTATTGTTATTTAGGGGCGGTTCGAACGTGGAGTTAGAGGATGAGCGGTAATATGTATTTAATTTGGTTGATTTCCTTTGTTGCTTAACTAATGTCGGTGATTTATACCTATAGTTGAGGTATTTTATAAAGACCGAATATTAATTTGAAAAAAATTCTTTCGTCATTTAGGGCCAGCTTGAATGTGGAGTTTAGAGAGTCGAGTGCTAGGCTTGAGCTCCAGTAGTATTGGTCGTCCCTGGTCGGACCCTAAGCGGCAACTCGTCTATGTCGACTTGTATTTGTCTGCGAAAGTGAGGCTCCCAGAAAACTATTTCACCCGAAGAATGGTGAGAAGTAACGCCGTTCGGACAGTGGACGTGCGAGGAATGCGAACGATATATGTATGTGAAGGAAACGCGTGAAGAATGTTGGAGTAGGCAGGAAGACGAAAGGAGACGTTTCGGCATGAAAGCTTCCGCAGAATAATTTCGTCCATGGCGATCTAACGAGCAATACTCAGCCAAAAAAGACTCACCGAGTCGTGGAAATCGATGAATCCAAAATTCAACTCGAACGTTGCTCGAACAAATATTATTATGGACGTTATATCGTTTTAGCGTCCGAAATGTGTGTGCCCTCGGCGTGATTACACGAAATTTGACGAATTTGGAATATTATGGCTTTGCGTTTAACCCTTGGACTTCCGGTTTGCGGGCGACAGGCACAAACACCGCGGCAAATAAATTTCCGAAGTGGGCAATTTCAAAGCAGCAGTAAAAGCCGGGGTGTTGCCTGCCTGTAACTCGCGAAATTCTTCCCCTGTGAATTCCGCGAGCGGAGTTTCGCCTCAAAGAATTCTGAGGTTGTATCTCGGGTTCCGCGTGCTCGCAGTTTTCCCAAGGAAAACGGATTAAGCGAAAAGCGTCGGTGGAATGGCCTCTGGAGAACCAGAGGAAATTCGGTAAATTCCGCGATCCGAGGCACACGCGTGAAATTCGTCGAGGTAATTGCCGCTTCGAAATTAAAAAGAGGCCTATTTAACCCAACAGTCGGATTATTTTCAACCTGTTCAGGATTTCAGATCGTCAGGGCAGATATCCACCCGGTCCCTAATCTCTCAGCACCCGGGGTCATTCAGATTAAGGGTACTTTTCCAAACCTGGGGACATGCCATCGAGTCGGCGACACCCCATCGCGGGATCGAGCGGAAAATAGACGAAGAGGGAAGAAAAGCGGCGGAAGCGCGGAAAAAGAAGTGGGCGCTTTCAGCACCGACGAGGCTGCTTTTAACGGCTCCAGGATCCGGGATCGAAGGGGATGATCCGGGGGTATTCGCGTGGTATTTTCGGCATTCGGGTAGGGAGGGAAGATTACACGAGAAAGGAAGTAAACTAAAAAGAGAAGCGCCGAGTAAGAGGGGATAAGAGGCGAGGAAAAGTCCACGATGCGTCGTCGGAATTAGGGGGTGCAGTGGGGGGTGCGGCCTAAGCTTCGCCGGTTATAAAATCCAGCTGCGCTTTTCTCGCATTTCCCACGGTTGGCCTCCCACCCCTTCCCCTCGCCCTTAACCGTTCGCGTAAATATTTCACGAAGGTAGTTTTCGTTTAACTTGGAGCTTTCCACCCCTCCCTGAGACTCCTCGGCTGATCCCGGGGCGATACGTTGCCTCTACTAATATTATCACCCCCGTTATTATTATTCTTATCGTCCTCTCGGAGTTTCAGATATGCCACGGGGGATGAAGGGGACTCGGCTAATGGATTCCACGGATTAGCCGCATCCCTCGACAGCGACTTAGCCCCGCCACTTCCGGCCGCGGGTCCAGGGCCGCGTCTGACTAAATATCCGCGTCAACCCCTAGCCGGCCCCTCGCCGTCAAACCTCGTTTAGCATTAGTGTAATCCCATAGCTCGGCACCATGTGCACCCCCCTGAACGGGGTAGCAGGTGCGAACGAGCCTTTGGGAAATTATCATTTCCCCATTGGCTGCTTCCAGAGTGAAAGACTCCTAAATCGCGCCTCGAGTCTATTACTATTACTTCTATGGGAAAAATCTCCCATATCGCATTTAAGGGGACGTGACATCTGAAGAGTCAATTTTTCATGACACTTTTCTCCGAACTGGGTGAATCGACTCGTTTCAGACTTTGCAATATGAACGTGGAGACCATAAAGAAAGTCCCGAGGCCCATGAAATTTCATATTTTTATAGGAAATTAAAAAGTGTCTATAGGTAAATTTTTTAAACAGTAAAATTTCATGGATGTCGGATCTTCCTTGTAGCCTCCACATTCACGTTGTAAAGTTTGAACTGGTACACCCAGTTAAGAGGAAAGTCTCACAGACGAGATCTCTTTGACGTTACTTTCACATATCCTTAACTGTATTTAAGGAAATCTAATTTCTGACCAGGAGAGAGTTAAAATAATGGACGCAGCGTCTCGCCCGCCATTAATCGGGAAAATGGCGTCGACGTCTCGAGGCCGGGCGGTTTCACAAGGGGTGGGTTCCTTTTGTTCCCCGCCATTATTCCTTGCATACCTCATGTCGCTCGCATTCGATATTCCACGCGGTAAACATCGGTCGTGTCGCGAGGACGAAACTACATTTCCGGCATTACCATAACTCCGATGTAAGGTTATTCCGAGGTGAACCCTTTCGACACCCCCTCCCCTCCTCCCTCCCCCACCCCCTCCCCCGCCCCCCCGCGAGGTCGGGTGAGATTTTTCACATCTCGTTTTTCTTAACCGAGGTGGGTTCCAAAGGGAACTTCGAAAAGTTCCCCGTAACCGAGGCAAACCCCTTGGCGGTGTTTCGCCCCCACCCCCGAGGGTGAAGGAAGGTGCGCCCCGCAAATGCGGAAACCGCGAGCTCGTCGCGGTTTTTTTTTCCCTCCCCTTTGACGAGCGGATTGTGGAATTTATTTTCCTTTCTCGCCAGCACTTGTCTGTCTCTCGCCTCGGATGGGAGAGAGAGAGAGAGAGAAAGCGAGGACGGTGCTGGGAAAGTATACGAAAGTAATCCGCAAAGAGGCGCGCAATTGACGCCGCAATGGCGTCAATTAAAAAATCCGCGATCCCCGAAAAAACAGTTCCGGCCGACGACCGAGTTTTTCTGGGTGCTTCCGAGCTGCTTCTCGCCCACTTTTGCACCCCTCCGGTCGCCGCGCCAAAAAGGCCGCAAGTGACGCGCGATTTAGCCCGCGTCGACCCAATTTCCGTGGAGACTGATATGGTGGATCTATCGCACAATCCGCAGAATCCCAACATCGATCCTTTCCCTGAGTTGCTAT